GCAGGAATGAACAATATAAAGAAAAGTGTTTACTAGGTGGTCTGTCAGGTCACGTAGCAGCAGAACAATAGAGGATTTGAAGAAGTCTCAAATTAAGAACAGACTGTGTTCCTCCCATCTGACAGGCCTCTTGTCTATTATTAGAACTACAGTGGTGTTGGCAAGAGTCAAGAAATACTTTCAGGAATTTCTCAGAATTGCAGGTATTTTGTCATAATTTTGGCACCTCATGATTTCTAAGCATAAGTATATGCTTATTTCAGGAGGAAATGCTGACATCCATTACCGGGAGTGGTATAAACCCTTGGTGTGGTTCTGGATCCTTGTTGGCCTTGCTTATTTTGCTGCTGTCCTGAGTATGATTGGAGACTGGTTAAGAGTCCTGTCCAAGAAGACAAAAGAAGAGGTATGACTAGTAATTGCTCAGTGGTTTGTCATTTTATAAGAGCTTAAGCATCTGATTCCTGCTTGTCTAAAGAAGGATGCTCCTCTGCATGACCAATGCTCAATATTCCCCATGGTTTACTCCACTGGCTGCCTTTGGTGTCCAGTTAGCTCTGATCTTTTGCTCCTTCACAAAGGGAGGAATAAAAGCAAATGAAGCAACCTAGGTTGTTACACCTCTATCGATACTACCAAATACACAGAGCACATCAGTAGGATTGCAACTATGGAATAGGAGAGGCCAGCCTTCACTCTGAAACTAGCAACAAAATTGTGATAAAAAATTCAGTGTTCTCTCTTTAAAAATTGGAGATGCATGGGATTTGAAGACTTTAGTTGGCTCTCTTCATTATGAAACAAGAATCTGCCTTTAAACCAGGGTTTTACATCGTTTTTTCTCACTTTTCCCTATGCCAGGGATTATGGTTCTGAATAAAGGTTTAGATTCAGGGCCCTTACCATATCTTACCATAAATATGAATACCATATTATTAAAAATTGAAGAAACTGAGTAGTCAGCATCAGGGACAACATGATTAAATTCACTCAGAACATGTCCTCCATGATTCAAAGACAGTATTGCTGATGCTTCACTCAAATAAGGGTGGAAAAAAAGAAGACAATTGACATGACTCTAGAGCTACACCCTATTGTGGAGGACGTTAATAATATAATTTCAATTTTTAAGGCAATCTCCTGCATTACTAGCAAAGCTAGCTTGGCAGGGTTAGCCAAAGAGCAGGCATAGACAAAAGTTTGGCAGAGGGGTAGTGCTGTTTATCATTTATGAAGTCATCTGTGCTACCTGAGTCCTGGTGCATCCCCTGTGGATCTCCATTAATAAAGGGGGCTTCACAGAGAGTTTGGCTGTCAGGTTGATCATCAGTAGGCACCTATAGGTGGGAATCTGATCTCTCATGGTGGATGTGAGATGCCTGCTGCCACAAGCAATACAGGTCTAAATGGACACCTGCTCATCTGGCCTGAGAAACCGAAGATGACTTCCTTGTGGATCACTAAATGCAGAAACTGAGTTCTGGCTACTGAGTTTGTACTCCAGAATCTATTCTCCTTTACCTGAACTTTGGAGAAGGCCTGTGTTGACTGAGATACTGCTCAGTCATTTATGTTCTTTTTTCTCATTTCGGAAGAAATATTTATTCAATACAGGAGCCATGTAGGTGCTTTATTCTTAGCCATTATTCTGCTCTCAGCTGCAAAGGAGTAAAACAGAGCAAAGCAGTGAGACATTTATGGACATGCTCATGGTGCCTACACAAGAGTATGTGTTGAAAACTCCCCAATCTGGCTTGAGAGGGTGGTATTTGGACAGTTACGTAATGGAGACCTCCATTAAAGACAGCTACATTTGTCCCTGACAATGAACCCTAGACTGGATCACAGAGGTCCACTTGAAATTATCTAATAGGTATTTCCAACGTTAATTTCTCTGTGCCTCTGTGGCACTGAACAGAACCTTCAGTGGGACTGAACAGCTCCATCCATGAGCAATATGGGAAAATACATTACTATATTGCTACACTGGTTGTTGTGCTGTTCTGAAGCATATTGGTATATGTGATTAATTTTTCCCACTCTTGACCATCTACCACTGACATTATAAGTCAGGAATCTGGTTCTTAACCAAGGAGGGATTAGCATGAACACCTCCCATCATGTAACACAGCTATAAAACCTGTTGGGTGGCAAAATGTGAAACAGGCAGACAAGTTATATGCCACATAAGCCATTAGCTAGTCACTAGTTGGTGTGTTTAGAGCTTGCCCAGTATAACCACTTTGCTGTTGAAGTTTGGGTCCAGATGGATGCTCTGGAGTTGGGACCTGCCTCCGATTTTATGCCAGAGAAGAAAGTGCTTTTGCTGCTGTTCTATAGGAAAGCCTGTCATTTCATTTTGCTTTTTCATTTTTTTAATTCATGTGTCTTCTTGTTGTAAAGGTTGGAGAAATAAAAGCCCATGCAGCAGAGTGGAAAGCGAATGTGACGGCTGAGTTCAGAGAGACACGGAGGCGGCTCAGCGTGGAGATCCATGACAAGCTTCAGCGGGCAGCCACCATCCGCAGCATGGAGCGCAGGCGCCTGGGCCTGGACCAGCGAGCCCACTCCTTAGACATGCTCTCTCCAGAGAAGCGCTCTGTCTTTACTGCCTTGGAAACAGGACGCTTCAAGGCCTCATCTCAGGAAAGCATCAACAATAGGCCTAACAACCTGCGCCTTAAAGGGTCAGATCAGTTCAACAAGCACGGGCAGGGGGCATCCGAGGACAACATCATTAACAAGTTTGGATCATCTGCTAAGATGACCAAAAGGAAAAACAAAGACCTCAAAAAGACCATCCCCGAGGATGTGCGTAAAATTTACGAGACCTTCCGAAACTACTCCTTGGACGAAGAAAAAAAGGAAGAGGAGACGGAGAAGATGTGTAATTCTGAGAACTCTTCTAGCACTGCAGTCCTGACCAACTGCATCCAGCAGCACTCAGACCTGGAGAATGGAGTGATCCCCAATGAAACCAAAGAAAGGGAACATGAAAACAAAGCGTTACTTGAAGACAGAAATTAAATGTAAAAGATGCTTGACTTGAATTAACATTAGTGTTTTTATATACATATATATATTGAGACACGTGCCTTATACAGACTCCTTATTCAGTCTGAATTATATAGCATCGAAGAATATTTCACTGTGCCATAAAGACTCAAGCTTGCTCTGCCAAAACAAATCAGGAACACAGCACTGCAGAATGGCAACAGAAAGCTACACACATGGAAATTTCAGCCTGTATAAGATTACCAGGGCAAGACACAAAGGAAAAGATTGAACCATGGCAATATCACCAGAGTGCTCCTACCATGGCATATTAGACAAAGAGCAGCTATGTAAGAAGAGCCTTTGAAAGGGATGAAAAAGAGTGTGTCTTTGTAATGGAGTATGCATCCATAAAGCCTTCCCCTGGTAATTAAAAAGAGGAGAAATGATTGGAGTGAACTAGAAACTTTCAGTAAGGCTTAGTTTACGTTTTGGCACGTGATCCAAGCTAGATTTTTTTTTTCCCCCATTTTTGAATCAGATGCATTATCTTTCTAAACTCCAAAAGAATGTCCATGGACACAGCCACCAGCTGGGTGCTGGCTTGAAAAATCAACAGAGACATATTTAAGGGTCAGATTGTTCTTTTCATTAAAAAAAAAAAAAAAAAAAAAGGAAAAAAACCTCTGTGGGTATTTATCTTAACCAGTGACAAAAAAAGAGAAAAAGGAAAAGAAACAAATGGATTTTTTTTCTTGTGTAGGAAATACTCAATGTAAAGTCACAACAAGAAAGTGCATATGAAGAAAATGCAACATCTTGTGCTAAGTTGTTTAAAAGAAGAGAAATATTAATTTAATGATATTTGGCTAGGTGTCTAAAACAATGGGCCAAGTGTTTTTTTTAAAAGAATTTCTCATTCATACTTTCTACCACTGGAAAAAACCCTTCAATTTTAATGCTGTAAGACTATGAAGACAGAAGGAAAGCTATAGCTTTTGCATGTCAGCAAACTGCTGTTATCTGTAGCTGAATCTGAATTTTTGAAAATAGACATAAGACCATATATGCTATTCAAGTGAGGGCCAGGGCAACCATAGAATCTCAGGGCTTTCTGCCCCTTTTGCTGGGTTTGGGTTTAGACATAAGCTGCAGTCATAATCTCAGAAAAAAAAAGAAAAAAGAAATTTTGGAAAAGAAGCTGAGAAAAATATGGTGGTAATCTTTTAAGTGCTTATAGCTTTAAGTGCCATTAATGCTGTCATATTTTGTAACTTTTTAAACAAGTATTTTGAATTATTTGTTTTATTTCCTTTCAGGTACTATCATTGTTTGACATTTGCAATCTCTTTTCTTGATAAAATCTAAACATGAGCTCTCTGCATTTCTAGACTAAAGTGAAATGTAACCAAACTGTGGGCATTTTTTAAAAAACTTTTGTGGTGTCTGGACATATGGATATAAGAAATACAAATGTCCCTAGGCTTCACAGTAAATATTCAAAGAAAAGGCTGCAAAATAATTAATGGGAATTGCAAAACGCACTAAATTTTTGTAGCCTCAGCCTGTGGGCTACTGTGTTTGCCATTGCAGATAGATTTTTGCATGCTGGAAATGAGATACACGTGATTGCACCAGCAATGCTTTCCCTGTGCCTTCACAAAATCCTAAATATTCCTGCAATTCAAACTGTAGGCTTATAGGGAAAGTAAGCATGGATGTAGATGGCAGAGACATACTGAATCTTACAAGCTAGTCAAACATACAGACACTCACAGGTCATACAGACACAGGCTTTTGGAATTGCATGCCCATGTCTACATACACAAAAATGCACGCTTAATTTTATGTGATAGTTTCTGAGATTTTATGCACAATAAGCCAAGTCAAAATCTAACTGGTCACCTGAATACATGATTGCCATGGCTATGAATAGAAGCATGGCAATGCAAATGTAAGTTTCGAGTATGCATATTTGCATATCTAATTGACTCTGCACGATTTGCAGGAGTGAGCCAAATTCCACTAGTACAGAGGAGGCAAGACAGTATGATCTGTCTGCTGGTTCACTTCGCTTGAAATATCATAACATCTTCCTAATTTCATTATCTGTCTGAAAATTAATGATGAAAAAACAATATTTGAAAAAATTCAGGTCATTGGGATTGCTTTAACTTATTAAGATCCAACAGAAATTGAATTCTGCTTAGTTCACCAACGAATCTCTTAAGGTGCAGGGCTGCACTCTGGCTTTAGCTTACTGGAGGCAGAGAAGTGAGCCCAGTCCCCAGGGAAGGTTTCATCTGAGCTGCTGTGGCTCCCGGAGACTTCTGTGCCACGCAGCTCTGCGCCTGGCTTCACAGTGACGCAGACGGCAGCTTGTGGTCATCCTCACATCCCGTCCTCCTCAAGCCACAGGCAGAGAGCAGCAAGATGCAGGTCTGTTCAAGCATCAGAGTCCTTTATAGCCCTCCTGTTGCTCCTGGTGCTGGGCAGGTCTGGGATGAAGTTCAGCCTCGAGTGCCGCACATGAGCAAATCTTCTGAAGTCTCACGCAGAGATAGTGAATCACGTTGTGCTAATTCTGTAATGCCAGGATGGATGAAGCATACCTGGATGTACCTAGGTTTTACATTGTTCAGATTTGGGTTTTTACTGGTGGGAAGCTAGGAGCAAAAGCTACAGTTTAGATTTGCATTTGAATTCCCCAAAAGGTTCAGAAGTGCTCAGACATGCAATTTGGGTCCTGGGAATTAAAGTACTGCCTGGTTACGCTGTCCTGCGCTTTGCTTGTATGAAGGATCAGGCACACAAAAGCATCTCATCTGACTCCGAAAGCATGCGATACATACAGAATGTGCTAACAACTCTCCTTGGTTACCAAACGTCAAAACCAGCATCACGCATGCAGTGCTATTTGTTCCTCAACTGAGTTCTCGCAAGAAATGCTTGTCTGTAATGGAAGAGCCCTGCACGGATGCACAGGCAGCTGTAAGGATATGGGAGATGCATTTCCGGTATGTGAAATATAAGGCTTAGTCATAGCCAGAGCATTTCTCCTGATTAGGGTCAGGGAAAGCAAAAGTCTGTCTTGTAGGGCTTGTCTGCGTGAGCAGGGAGTTGGACAGTGCGCAAATCATGGAAAACAGGTCAACATGGAGAAAGTGGCTGAGGAGACAAAGTTTGGTTGCCAAATTCAGAACTTTTTGCTCTGATGGGATAGAGGCACAATCAAATCTTGGCGTATTTTTAACCTCTAAACTTTCTGAGTTCTCAGTCTGTCCCCTGTCCAGATTCTGGCTGATGGTGTGTGTGTCTCACTCTAGTTTCTGCCTGGCCGTGCTATGCAGGAGTCCCTGGCTGACATTTTATCAGCTGTGTCTTCAGCAACTCCTGGTTTGGATATGATAGTTCCAAGGACAAAGGGTGATGCTGAATAAACTCCCAGTGAGATATGGAACAGAGCATTTGATGATCTTTTACATGAAAGCAAAATGCTTTCTTTCATTCCTCTCCATTTCTGTGTCTGTGAAACTTGCTGAGAAAGCTGCCAGTCTGCTACTGGAGTAAATATTTTCTCCTATACGATTGACTATTAAATACCTCAATATACATAATTTTTATTATAATATGGGATGTGCAAATGGTGTATTGCACAGGGGCCCGGACAGAAATGTCTGATGACTAAAATGACATTTTAATGTCCTAAATTGCTTCTCCCCTTGTAAAGGCCATCCCTTGGTTTTAGCTGTATGCAACAGCTTGGGCGAGAATCTCAGTTCAAACATCAAGTGTTCTTATGGCTAAAATTCTCATCCTTTGGCATTTAATAATACTTATAAAAAACTTATGATGTTATTTCTAGTGAGGCTGTTCCACCATTATTGAAAGTTTTAGCAAAAGGCAGTGTGAACCATATCCAAAACTCCTTGCTCTAAATGACACCCGTTCACAGCAGCCTGAAAAGCAAAAGTCAAACAAAAGGGTGACTTACTGACTTTAACTCTCAGATCCTGCCCTGAGCACAACACGACTTGACATGGGAATTGGGACCTGAAAGAACAAAGGAAACATGGATTTTCTGTAGCTGCAGCCCTCACACATAGAGGACGACTCAGTTTCTGTTTTCCTACAACTTTCAGCTCTGCAGTCCCATTTTCTACTGTCTTGTGCAGGAGAATTCCGGCATGGTCCTTTGGGGATCCTCCTAAACCATTAACCATCACTGAACTTATGCAGATATTGCATGAGTGGTTTTGAAAAATTTGTAACTTCATCCATGTGGCAGTCTGTGAATTTCATTATCCTTTAATAGGGAACATTATTTCTAATAAATGTTATTAGAAATAATAGCAAATAAAAACCCCAGTGATTTATATTAATGAAATCTGATTTTGGTTGTTGCTGTGAAATTATAAATCATCTGGGCTTCTGCTGTCTGGCTTTATGATGTCACTAGTACAACCCCCTGCTTCTTCCAAAGCCATTAATGGGCTATGCCAGAGACTTTCTGCAAAATTCTCTAACCCACAATAAATGAAAGTATGTCTGTGAGTTCAGGGTGTTAAAAACCCTGTCCTTAAACCCGCTGCATTTTCCTGGAGAATTTGTGTTTATGCTGTACATGGGCTGTTTTTTGCCAGCTTTGGTTTTCTCAGGGGCGTATTTGTGTTGTCAGGTTGCATGATGTCTGCTAGTCTCACTTTTCCCATCATCCACTAAACATAAGTAACAGGCAAACCCCAAGCTTTATGTTATGTTACGTACTAACCTAGAACAAGAAGTCTTCTACTAAACAGATATGAATTCGAAAGGTGGCTGGGAACTGCTTCAGTCCTTCCTGTACATTTATTTGTTCTGAACTATGTTTTGTCTAATCTAAAGCCAAAATCTGCCCTCATCAAGTCAGTGCCGTAAAGTGGAGCTAGCTTGTTATTTTTAAGCGTTTTAGAGCAAAGACCTGCTGTTTTAACTTATCTCTATAGTGCCATTTACACTTATTGGGATGGCATTATATCAATACTAAATACAAATAAGCCCAGTTTCAGAAACAGTTCCCCAGGCAATTAAATATCAATGAAAACACAAACAAATCAACATAAATCTACGAAACTCAAACAGAGGCTTGTAGATTAATGTATGAAACAAGTTGGCTGAAATATATCAGCATAAAAATGCAGATCTGAAAATTCCTTTAGGTTGCCTAATTCTTCCTGAGGTCCACATCTCCTTTACTACCAGTAGCAGTTACTCTCCTTAATACCATTGGTGAGCTGGACCATATTTTTTTTCCTCCTGCCAGTGCAACTGAAGTACATAATGATGTTAGACTCTGTTGACTCATGCTGTTGAAATCAAATACTGAAGAAGCGGTTGCGAAAACTAATTTGAGGGTGCCCTGGTGTAGCCAGCACATGCTCTGTGAGCTGGATCATGCTGGGTTGAGAAGGTTGCTCTACAGGCAGGTCTTACCCACACCACCGGTGA